ATTATTATGGTTGTAACTAAAAATTCAAGGTGTTAAAATAAAAGAATTGTTAAAAGTCACGTCTTTTTGCCAAATTTACTGATATTGAGCATAGAAATTGTACTTATTTAATCTCATTAAATGATCGGGCCTCATTTTATTTGAGTCTACGATGCTCAAACTCAGCTCGTACTCAAACTATGTTGTAAAATTATATCCAAATTCAATCCAATCCAAATTAAAGTAACTAGTGTTCATGGCACACACCAATTTGTGCGCAACTAATAGAAAATTATTATTAATATTCTGGGTAAATTTGTATCATTTTTCAGAAGAATTGGTTTTATGTTTTTGACAATAGATATTAAAAATTCACCAAAATAAAGTGCATAAATAGATAGCTATTTACAAATAATTCATAGCCATAATTGGTTTGATAGCTGTGCTTGTGAAAGATCAAGTGCTACCAGTACCTGTTTTTCAAGAGAAAAAGGCTGCTAGACCACTCAACAATTTCGGCCAAAATACACTTTTAAAAAAAAAAATCAAACCAATTTCAACCTTGATTTGAATGTTTTGGATTCACTGATTCCTGATTACGGAGGTATTATTCGACATCAAACGACAAAGAAATTTTGGGTTTAATATCAAAACCGGTCAATTAACAACCCTGCTCTTGTCCGTATAGAAGCCTTTTCAGAATTCAGATACTACGGCAATCATTTGCCCGAACCTAATAGTACTAGCTTTTAATCAAACACAACACGTCTCTAAGATTGCCCTTGTCCGCCTAGCCTAGCCGCCAGCTAAAACTCCTGCAATTTGATCCTCCTCCTACTTTCAGTCTCACCAACCAAACCTCCAAGGGCCCCAAGCTCGATTCGATTCCAAAACACTTTCTTCCATCCGTTTCGACAGTATAATTTCAGGAAAAAAAAATTTGTAAAATTATTTTGCTTGTATTATAAACATAATTTTTAATTATTTTTTTATTTTACTTATATCACATCACAAAAAAAAATATTACAATTTTATTTCAAATATTTTTTTAGATTTTTTTCAAATAATTTTTATTTCACGTGCTCTTTTTTTTTTTTTTTTGGTATAGAGTATGTATGAACCAACTTATAATGGAATTTGTTCTAGGATGGACAGCACTAGAAAAACTCGGTTGCCCAAATGAGGCCCAACAAAGGGATCACTCCACTGTCGATAAAATTGCGGTCACCAATGAGGCCATATTTTAATGGTATATTAACTAAGGTTAAAACTTCTGGAATTAGAGATTTTGGATCAAGTTTTGCAAAGTGAGCTTATTAACTCCATAGTTAAAATTAACTCACTATTTATGAGTTAGTTATAATATTGTTGTGGAGGTGTAGTATGTCTGTACCAATGCACCTATGCATGTGTTAATTGTAATCTTGTTTATACGTACGGAAAATAAAAATGAAAATCAAATTAACACTTGTTTTCACAAGGGCATAATTCCCTTCCTCCACTTGACTCAATTGGCATTTCTAATTGGTCACTCTTGAAAATTCTTTACAATGAAATTATGTTTATTCTTACCTGTGCTCATTATGTTATTTGTGACTTTTTATATATATTGATAATAGCTGTCAATCCATGTGTTTTAAACTTGGACCGGATCGGTCTGTCCGACCAGTCATACTGAAAATCAGCCAAATGTTCGGTCCGAGCTATCTGAAAAATTCGGATTTGTAAAGACTCAATCGAAAATCGGAAGAACGTGAAAAAATCGGATTTTTTCCCTTTTTGTTGAATTTTTTTTCCTTCCTTCCCTTTAACTTCAAATCCTTGTGAGCTCTCCCCTCCTCTGCAAATCCATTTTCACTCTTTCACTTCAATTCAAGCATCAAAAATCAATGTTTTAACTTTTTTTTAAAACAAAATCTAATCTTAGATCTTGTATTCAAAAGAAGAAAAAACCCAAAAATGCAAAAAAGGGAGCGGAGAAGAGAAAAGTTTGAAGAAAACAGATAAAAGCTTGATATTTCATGAATTTGAGAATAAATAACTAATACAATAAGAATGAAAATGAATTTAAAAAAAAAAGAAAAAGAAGAAGAAGAATAAAGGAGTTGCAGAATGACAGAGAAAGAGGAAGATGAAGTGCCCTATGAACGCATCATGAGAGAGAGAGAAAGAAATGGGACAGTGTGATGTTGGCTCAAAGCATTTTTCACGTGATTGTGGGGGCAAAGCATTTTTAATATTATATTTTGACCCCTAAATTGTTAAAAAATATTAATATATCTCAAATATTTCACACTTTATAAAGTTGTCCCAAAGTTTGGTGTTATTTTTTAATCAAATCCGTAATTTTAATTCTAAACTTGTTAATGTTCATTGAATAATTTAAATTGCTACTTGATTGTTCTAACTTTTTTGTATTTTTTTTGTTAAATACATTTGAAACATCAAATATATATATATATATATATATATATATATATGAATATACCTTTATTAATATTAACATGTTCTTAGGTATTTTACATACAATATTTTAATTTTTAAGTAATTTTTATTTATGACGTCATTCGGTTCAACCCCCAATCGAACCCATTGACCGCTGACCCCTAAACTTGACTGAGTCGATACCCGATTCAGGTCTGAAAAACATGGTTGTCAATGGGACATGCCAATCCAAACTAGACCTACTCAATTAAAAAACAATACCCTTTAAACCTAATGTTTACTTGAGGCTAAAAAAATTTGGGCATGAATATTAGGCCTGAATTAAATATGAATCGATTCTAAACTTTGTCAGGTTAAGACGCGTTTAAGGTCGAGCCCACTTATAAGCACGTTTATAGACATACTTACATACATACATACATATATATATATATATATATATATAGATAGACGCGCACACACACACAAAATCATATACATATATTATACTATATAATTTTTATATTTATACACGTAAAAATATATATATATGTATATATTTATCATTATACATATCATAATTTAAATTTATAATAATTTATATATAAATTTACAATAATTCATATTTATCAAACATATATTATATATAATTATGTATTTAATTATAAGTTTGAATTGAATATGACATGAGCCTAAAACTCATATAAAGATGTGAGCTGAACTAAAGCCTTCTAATATAGGTCCAAACTTGAAGGCCCTAAAATTTTATTTAGTTTGTAAGCAGGGCTTGCTCAGAAATACCGTTTGAAAGCTCTAATTAAAAAGAAGAAAAGTAATTCCATCTTTATGAGCAAAATGTTGTAGTTATCAGGTTGAACTAGACGTCGCTTTACAAAAGAAAATGAAATACTCTAGTCATCTTGGAAGAAAACCGATCTTATCATATCAAATCAAAAACAAATAATTATGTTTCTTGATTTGATCAACTCGGTTTAGACACTCTAATTTAAGTTGACTTTCCTCGGCAAGACTCTGTCCTCATCAATCACAATTCTTATTTTTTGGTATTCCAAAAAGCCAAAAAGTCGGTATTCCTTGAATGGTCACTCAAAACAAGCCAACATGCTTATCCATTTTCTTTGTTGCTTTCAGTCTCTGAAATATATATATATATATATTCTCTAAAAAATATATATATTTTCTAAAATATATATACACATATTTTTTTTTTCACGATTACAACTAAACAATAGTAGTGGTGAGATAAATACAATCAAGTTGCATATCAATAACATTGCAAATTAATCCATAATTGTGTGATAAATATCAACATAAATTAATCCACAAAAAGCATAAGGAACACTAATCTATAGTTACAAACTAATCCACAATGGTTATTCTTTCTAATCTCAGCATAATTACGGCAAAAATGATTTGAGGACTATTAAAACATAGCTAGAACTATGTAATATTCTAAACTAATCCATAGTAGTACAGATTAATGCAAAGAAATTACACAACTAAACAAGATGATGTACCAACCACAAGTGATAGAGATTACCAGGCTTCAAATCCCCAGTCACGGACGTTTCCGTGACAATGAGTTACTTTCACGGGGGATCCACTACCTAAAAAATTATTTCTACTTCCAAGTTTTCCAATACGCAACCAACTCACACATGGTGCAAGGAATTCATGGATATTATCAACTAATCCACGCTAAATACAAGTTTAATCGATCGATAAGGACGTGTCATTTCCTTGTAAAAGATTGTGTGCGAGAGACTTATAAAAATCTCTGAGAGCTATTCATGATTTTGAAAATATGCTCTGCCCCGTAATAATAATTAGGATTGAACCCATTCAAACTTTTATTCTATCAGAAAACGAATCAACTGACCCACAATTGTAAACCCTTTTATTTAATTGAAGTAAACACTACCTAACCCACCATAAAAAGAATCAACTAACCCACAATTGTAAATCCTATTATTTAATTGAATTAAACACTAACTAACCCAAGATGTGGTTTGAGAACGCTAATATGATAGACTAAGCTCAAAAATAATAAAAATACTAGAATTCAAAACTTCTAATTCTTTATATCTAAATTTGCTTATTTTACTACTAGTGCCTAAGTCAAGGCACTATTGGTTTCAAATTTTAAATCTCAAGGAACAAAATAGCTCATAATTTTATAGCCATTACCATCAAAATGCCATCATCATTAGGTTCAAAATTCCAATGAATGGACAGAAGGTTTGGAACATAGTGAATATTTAAAATTTAAGTATAATAATTCAATTCAAATCTTTCTTAAAACCCACTAGCATATTCTCTAAACAATCTTTTTAGTTTTCATTTCACAAGCGCACTTATCAAAGAAAAGAAGGATATTTCATCAAAACATTTTAAGAAAAATTAATCTTACATATACTGGCAATTTATATATGCTTTTACGATTAAATATAATTTAAATTTAAATTATTTGTCACGTATTTAATACTAATGAAAGTTTATGTACCGTCAAAATACCCCCACAAAAACATAGAGTTACTCTCCCAATCATTACCAATTACCGCTAGGCCACAAAGGATCCATTCATTCGTCCATCAGACACCTTTTTATTATTGCCCGAGTCCCTGCATAGCTGCAATCCCTCAATCTCTGCAGCTTCTCCCCTGCCTCTAGAAAGGCGTACTTGAAGTTAACTCCCGTCTTCTTCCCTACCGCCCCACCTCCAAAGCCTCCAAGGGCCCCCAGACCATTTTCATCGGCCCCATCAAACGCTTGTTTCCTGTGTACCAGGTAAGTTTTATTACCATGAAAGGTCCCATTTTTTGGGTTCATTTATCAAACTAAAAACCTTATTCTTGAACCCATTATGGGTTTACTTTCATGGACGGTGATGATATATTGAATCTGCATAAATTGATATATTATGGGTTTACTTTCATGGCTATATTCATCATATGGCCAAAAAGGTAGAAAAGTTTTTTTTTTTGTTTTGTTTTCCCTCTTTCTGGTAATTTCAAGAACTTTTTTTTTTTTTTTTTTAACATTTGGCTTGATTACGGTTTGTGGGGGGTGGTTGTCAACTTAATCTTTTGGGCAACAAGTCCTCTATTTATCCACCTTTTTGTCCTGGTGTTGCCCCCAAAAAAAAAAATATTTTTTGTCGTGGTGTCCAAATACGTGTTCTTTTTTTCTTTTTCTTTTGCATGAAGTTTGTAACATTCTTTATAAAGAATTAAGTTTTTAACTCAATACTTTTTGAATGTGTCTCCTTTATTGCATTATTTGGTGGCTGTGTTTTTTGGAGCTATGTGAATGGCACCATATTTTGAGCATCTTTTGAGCGTTTTGGTTTAACGTTTCTGTTTCGGTTCTTATTTTTATGGTAAGCTGAGGCATCCCCCTGACTGAGGGTTTTGTTCTTTCTGAGTTTCAATTTTGCAGATTCACAGATCTCTGGTATTCAAGCTTAGCTTTTCTTGTTGTGGTAATTGTTCATCTGTTTCTTTACTTTTGGGCGCTATCATCTTTGTTTGGATGAGAATGTTCTGTTTATGCTTGGACCAATGTAGTGGTTTTGGTTGTGCCATTTGTTCCGTAATAAATATTGTTAAACTGGCTGTTGACTTAGTTGATAGAATCCCGTTTGCCTGATTTACACAATCAAACGAAAGGTATGCAAAAACTTGACTTAACAAGATTTAATTCTGTTCCTCTACTGGAAGCGTGTATTTAAACTGGAGTAATTTTCTATTCTTTATGCTAATGAAGTGCTTCTGTCATTAGAATTACCTTTATTACTTGGTTCATCTTAATTGTAAATCTCAGCAAGCTTTTATTGTCTCCTAATGAAACGTCTTGAACATTCTGATGCTTCTTGATTATTCTCAAATTGTGTATTGGCTTTGTTTAAAGAATTCCTCTTGCCTTGTGTAGACGGTAGAAAGAAAAGTATGCAGAAACTTGAATTAACAAGATTTAGTTTTGTTTATTGACTGGATGGCTGCATAGTATGGCGGTGTGACTTCTCCCTTCAGCTTCGTCCTAGTGAAGTGTTTTTGTAATTACAATCACTTTTGTCTTGTGGTTCATGTTGACTATGAATCTAGCAAGCTGTTCAGGGTATCTGGATGAAATCTCTTTAAGCATTATGGTAGCTTGCCTGATTATTACATTTTACTCCTGACTAGGAATCCTACATCTCTTTTTTCTGCTACTGCATTGATTCATCAATTGATTGTGTTCGTGGAGTTGTCGACTGTTAATTTTATCCTATTGTTTCAGATGGATGCACAAGTTTCTGAGGATGGACATGTGATTGAGATAGATGCTGATAGGCCGGCTGTAGAAAAAGGCTTTGTTGCAAGTAAAGTTTGTGAGGGAGCACCATGTGGATTATCAGATGCCCAAACGAGTTCAGAACGTTCAGTGTCCATGAAAAAGCTTTGGATTGCAGTTGTACTCTGCATTGTTTTCATGAGTGTTGAGGTTGTTGGAGGCGTTAAAGCCAACAGCCTTGCAATTCTGACTGATGCTGCTCATCTGCTGTCAGATGTTGCTGCTTTTGCAATATCTTTGTTTTCTATTTGGGCGTCTGGATGGGAAGCTAATCCACGCCAATCTTATGGGTTTTTCCGCATAGAAATTTTGGGGACATTGGTCTCTATCCAGATGATATGGCTTCTTGCTGGTATCCTCGTTTACGAAGCCATTGCCAGACTCATCCATGATACTGGTGAAGTTCAGGGCTTCCTCATGTTTTTGGTGTCTGCTTTTGGCTTAGCAGTGAACATCATCATGGCTCTTGTGCTTGGACATGATCATGGACATAGCCACGCTCACGATCACGGACATCATGGACATGGCCATGCTCACAGTCACGGACATCATGGACATGAGGGTCATAGTGATGACGATGGGGAGAAGGAAAATGAGCAAGTGAATGATCATATGCGTACTCATGGGGTGAGCACAGCTGGACATCACCACCATCGTGAGGGACATAGTGAGCATCCTCATGCACATGAATCAGATCATACTGAGCCTCTCCTTGAAAAGAGTTGCTCGGAGAGTGAACACAAGTCAAACAGTGGACATAAAAAGAAGCAATGGAACATCAATGTCCAGGGGGCTTACCTTCACGTACTAGGTGACTCGATTCAAAGCATTGGGGTGATGATTGGTGGAGCAATTATATGGTATAAACCAGAATGGAAAATTGTTGATCTGATTTGCACACTTGTTTTTTCTGTAATCGTGCTGGGAACCACTATAAAGATGTTGCGCAAAATCCTTGAGGTTCTTATGGAGAGCACGCCTCGAGAAATTGATGCTACCAGAATTGAAAAAGGTCTTTGCGAGATGGACGAGGTTGTTGCAATCCATGAATTGCATATATGGGCAATCACGGTTGGGAAAGTGTTATTGGCTTGCCATGTGAAGATTAAACCTGATGCTGATGCTGATTTGGTGCTGGACAAAGTTGTTGTCTACATTAGGAGGGAATATAACATCAGTCATGTGACAATCCAAATTGAAAGAGAGTTCAATTAAAGGGTATGATGTGGTTTAAGCCTTGGTGTAGCATTTTCCTGGGACGGGCAAACTTCTTTCAAAGATTGTCATTTCTTTTCTAGCAACAGAGAGATGGCTCTCTTGCCGATTTGGCTGCATTTTTTGTAACTATTTTACCCTTTTTTCTTTTCTTTTCCTTGTGTTCTTGGTTTATGTTGAGATGTAACTTGGATAATGGCCATCTAGGAAATGCCAAATTTGGAGGTCTTGGCCTCTTAGGACTGCAGCACTTCCTTTCCCTGGAGTGGATGAGCTAAAGATGCCCATCGACAATGCAATACAGGGCTATGAGTCATAGAGAATTTAGCCTCCACCATTGCTCTGCAGATGAATTGATGCCATTCACCTTTGATTGTCAGTCGTACTTTATCCTAAGATTTGCTGTGACTGATATCCAGAAAGTGAAGAAGACCATATTGAAGCAACAAGAAATAGGTGGAACTGCAATGTTTTAACTCTGCCTTGAGGGTTATCTTGCTTACGTTTGGACGCACAACCCTGATTGATTATATCAAATCTATTGTCAGCAATGGGTGAAATATAGGCTTAATGGAGGCAAAATCGAGCCTTTTTAGCTACAAATCTGCTTTTCTAGGTAACTGTTTAACAGTGTGTTAGTGTTATTTTTGTATCCTACCAGTACTAGATAACTTTTTACAGTGTTATGTGTTACTTTTGTATCCTACCAGTACAAGTAAACAGAGCTGTTAATTTGTGCCGGCAATCTGTGGCTTCGTTTAGATTGCAGGTTTTGAGTGAGTGTTTAGAAAAACCAATATATAATCCAACTGTTCGCGCTGATTTTTGGCACTAACATTGTACGGCACAGTGCACACGTAGCAAAAAGCGATCGTTGAGAAATGCGTCAAAAGAATCTTTGAAGAAAAGAAAAGAAATGCCAGAGTCATTTAGCAGCACTATTTCAATTGACTGTCTCTAAAGTGGTTAGCCGCTAGAGAGAGAGAGGTTTAAAACTCTCTTTGAATATAGGTCACGGAATTAAATTTCTTGAATTCTTCTTTAGAATTTTTTGGAAAATTCTGTCAGGAGTAGGTGTATAATATATCGTGTCGATCAAAAAAAAAATAAATTAGCAGCACTGTTTCATATCATGTCTCTCTTATGTGCCCAAAAGAATCACTTCAAGTGCATTATTCACACCGATCGGATGCAGTAATTAGTTACTCTAGGACTTGCTTATTAACTACAATAAAACTTGTTCAAATGTAGGCGCTTCTAAAGTTGTCATGTAGCTACGATTTATATGGTTTCGTGGACAATCTGAACAAATTTTCTATATTTTGTCAAAATAAAGATTTTTTTATATAAACAGAATTAGATCAATGCTATATAATATTAATTTAAATTTGAAATTTAAATTATGTACACGTGTTTATTTAAAGTTGCTAGTGTAAAAAATCGAGCTTTTATAAAAAGTTAATCCGTGCAAAAAATTCACGGATAGCAATTGATTAGGACAATTTTAACTTTAGGGCCTTGTGGAGCACATGTGCAAATCAGTACACGTGCAAAACGAGACCTTTGGGCTGGGGTCCAATTTTTTTTCATCTTATCATCATCAAGGATAAGTTTTGACCCACTATTGCCCCCTTAGATTTTAATTGATGGGACAGTTGAGTGGGTTGGCGCACAGATAACGAATGGTCCATGGACAAGCAGCAGCCAGAGTGCGAGTGTTTTTGTGATTCAGGGGGTGCATTATTGCCGTGTCATTATTTGAAAAAAACAAAGGGAAGAAGAAGAGCTCGTCTAATTGAGTCCATTCCACTTTTCAATGATTTTTAGATGGCAATCTTTTAGAAAATGAGATTTAAATCTGAAAAATATATAAATATTAGAATGTGATTGGGTGTATTTACATGACAAATTCAATATAAAACAACATACACATTAAAAAAAGAGTTTACTTACAAAAAGTCACTAAAAATTATGACATTTAAATGATAGGTATAAATATAAGAATTTTTAAAATTAAGAAAATGAGCAATCGTTCATTTAGCCTATGTTTGTTTGTCGTATAAGTTGTACCTTAGAGTAGGATTTTTTGCAAAAAAAAAATGCCAAAAATATATATAGAACTTAATTATTGCTCGCCTTTTAAACAATAGGAGGTAGACCACTCTGCAGGTCCGGTTCTAGATTGAGGAACAAGGGGTTCTAGTCATTTCATCTTATAGCTCTTTTGCATGAAGTTCACTATTGATTTTCGACTCAATTAGCTTGGGAACTTTATCAAACCATGAAAAGGTCTTACTGAAGATTTTTTTTAAAAAAAATAATAACTATAAAGTTCTATTTGGAATAGAATTAATCTTTCCTACACTGATAATGTATATATACACGGTACACGTTGGATGAATGACAACTATGTAAAATTTGAATTTGAAATTCAACTTTTGCACATATGTCATGAATCCAATAGTAATAGAATATACACCGTCAATGTGTATAAGATTTACTCTTTAGAATATAATAAATTTAATGTTCTATTGGAATAGAAAAAAGAATAAAGTAAAATATATACCATAGTAAATTATATGTTTTCTTTCATAAGATAGCTTACAAAAGCATAATTGAAGGAAGCACTAGCAAACTTAGGGTGCATTTGATAAAATTGAAATTTGAAAATTGGAATCTAAAATCTTAAATATGAAGTCTGAATCCAATAAATTATTGAATATATAGTTAAGTACTAAATTTGATACGTTTAAGTAGATATCCTATTAAGTGATAAGTGAATATCTTATCACTTATTTTTTAAACTAAACTTTAGTTAGAAAATTTAATGCCACTTAATTAATTCAGATATTCTATTTTTTGTTATCAAATATAACTGAACATATTAAAATCTGAATCCATTTAAATTTAAGTATTGAATTGAGTTATTAAACAAGGCATCAGTGTAATCTTTTGCTATAAACTAGCAAGTGCAGTATTTAGGAAAAAGTAAAGAAATGAAAATGCAAACATGCTTAATTAAACCTAGTCCTTGGCTGAAGTTAAACATTTTTTTATTATGGCATGACACATTTTTATTTGATATCCAAAGGAATGACTAATCTACCCAAATGGAATAATGTAAAAAAAGTCATATTCAATTTTTTTTCAGCTTATTTAGCATAGACTGGCAATGTACAAAGATTATGTTATAGCGATTCACGGGGGGAAAAACAAGTAAACTATACAAAATTAAGTAATCTGACAGGAGCGAAAAAAAAAAAAAAAAGAATGGCTGTTTCTTTTATGTCCATATCTAGTTATCTCCACAAAAAATTTGACATCATCTAAGCATTCATTTAGAAATTAAGGGGCATCATAAAACCTAAACAGAAAGGGTATTAGACTATCTTTTAAGCCAGCCCAGAAAGAAACTAACTTTTTGAACTTGTAAGTGTTTAACATTTATATTAAGCACATACACCATCATAAACACAAAAGTTTAAATCATAACATGATTACAAGAAATGATTGGAACAAGTTCTTGAAATCAAAAGACAAATTACAGATTATTTACTAGGCACGGATTCAATTTATTTCTTTCAAGTTAATCCTGAAAATGATTAATTTCTTCTCTCAAGAGGATGAATTGTATCAACATCAATTAAAAAAAAAAACATAAAAGAAGAAGAACATGATCAAATGAGTCTAAATAAAGGGATGTCATTAAAGCTCAAGTACCAAGAAAAAGAGTAGCCACCATACATGTATAGAAAGCAAGCAAGATCTGGTTTTATTTGGGGGCTTGGTGAAATAGGAAGGATTTTATATGAAATAATATTTTTTCTATACCGTAATTAAACTCTGTAAATCTTTCCCTTTTCAATTTGCAGTTTGAAGTAATGTAATAATGGTAGTTCCTCCTCCATATCTACGGTGTATAAAAAATTTATTCGGTTCACAGCATTTTGCAAAGTACTAGATTTTATATGTTTCCACACTTTAGAAGGTGCATGATGTTTTCATTCGATAAGTGCAATCACATTACTAGGCAATATCTTGTCTTCTCCAGCATAAGAGGTGTCTTACGCTTAAGATGAAAAATGCAATTTGGTGTCTCCAAAATGGAAATCTAGACATATAAAAGAAACCAAACTCGCTAGACATATAAAAGAAACCAAAATCGATGAAACTTTCCATGGAATGTTTTGGATTTGAGCAAATTATTAGTCCAACAGTGGGAGACCAAAATTTGGATCTCTCCCTTTATGGGTATGTACAGATGAATGCCTCGTCAAATTTCTGTATACATAAAAAGTGGTTGTATTTTTGCCAACAAATTTTGTTGTCAAAATTATGCAGTTTCAATCTTCTTGACACATTGAATACCTTTTAGTAAACTAATAAAGTAATAACACTGTAATAAGTCAAATATTGGATCTCAAAAAAAAAAAATCTAGAATAAAAATATATAGCACTTGTTAATACCAATTAGATTGTTAAAATGTGTGATGCATTGTAAAAGTTTTGTTGGTCAAATCTTTTCTAAAAATATGATTTTTAAGGGATATAAATTTGAACTCATTACATATTTTTTTCTACTAAAATTATCTAGAAATCTAGGAGCTATGACATAATTTGCTATAAAAAGATTTGAGGTGTCCTCCATCCTGGCAAATAAATGGATGATCCATTTTATACCTCTTGGAGGAGGTGTATAAATGTAGTGTATAAATGTAAAGCTATTCACACAGAATTTCAACAAAAATAGTTAATTTATTAAAGGCACAATGATAAGTATTTGATTGTGCTAATAAAGATAGAGGTTGCATTTAGATTTCTATTTTCAGGCTCTTGAACAAGGAAGTTCAAACGAGGAAATAACAAAATGTGAAAATATGTAATTTCCTAAAACAATACGGATGGAATTTCATTTTCCTCTCTATCCAATGGTATTCATGCTATTTATGCCAAAGTTGATATTTATACCTCGAACCATCTTTAATACAAATAGCAAACATATTAACAAACAAAATTATGATAAATAGGAGGGAAGGCAAACATATTAACAAACAAAGATTATCTTAAATAGGAGGGGAGGATTGGATTGGATGATAAGATGAGCGTCGTAAGTAAGACAGTTTTTTGTTCAAATCAAGTGGGGAAGTAAGTAGAAATTTTGTTAGTTAGTTGATAAAGCAATTATGCAATGCTCAATCTAACATGCCAAAGCAAAAAATGTGGCTTTCCAGGCACACAGTGAACTCTTTCAAGTGATGAAGGTGATTTCTTAGTTGATAAAGCACTCGTGCAATGTTCAATCTAACATGCCAAAAAAAAAAACCGGCCGACAATGCTCAATCTAACGTGCCAAAAAAAACCAGTACATGCAATAATACAAGTACATCACACCAATTACCAATATACTGCCAAATCACAGCAATTCCCAATATACTGCCAAAAAACATGATGGTCTTTCAGTTGGGGAAGAATGGTAGATGCATTAATGCAAGTTACATCACAACAATAATCCAAATATACTGTTGGATGAGTGTGACGAGCATTGATGCGAACTAATCAAAGCCATAATGATGATGTATTCCAATGGTATAGATACTTGTCAATAAAGATAGTTGATATTCTTCAGATGGTATTAACAAGTTCGCATGAAAGCCATAATGACAGTAGTATTCTTGGAAAATAATTGAACAATGTTGAAGAAGTAATAATTTGAACAAACATAAGTCATGCTAAATAGTACTGTTC